TTTTATGTAAATGGTGCACCAAGGTCCTTCGATTTGCACAAAATTTGGCATAGCGTACTGAATTAAGTCTAGAAGGATGTGTGTTAATTTTCGTGAAAACCGGTTCAGATTAAATATAGCTCGCACATATAGATTGTATTTTTAACAACGCGGCGTACCGAATAGGGTGTATAAATTTTGCTATAAATCGTTTCCATAAATTTTCCCCATATTAAAGTTAGGGTAGGTTGGAGAAAGAGGGAACATAGGCATGCAATTTTTAGGATACATATGTACAACACACCCAAAGTGGTGAAGGGTATCATATAGACGGCCCAGGCCGACTTTACTACTTTCCTTACTGGTTTTTTTTTAATACAGAAGAAAAAAAGAAACATGAGAAGTGCGAGTAAACGACATTTGAGGTGGCTTTATAAAAGGGAAAGAATTTTGTACATCGCAAAACTAACATCCAGGAATGTTGCAGATTTCCAATCAATTAGCCCAAGCGATGACTTACCAAGCACAAGTGAAGATTATAGTCAGGTTGAGTGAATGGTATTTTAAACACAAGCCATCCCGAGATTGTTTTCAAAATCTGCTAAAAATTTTGATTGAGGAAAATTTGAATCTGCCCTCTAGTGCAAACGCTTTTATTAAAAAACGACAAAAATTGTGTTTGAGATCAGAGCCTCCGTGTTTGAGTTATTAAGGGTCTCAAGCATTTTATATGATTGCGGAAAAATACTTCTAGATATAAATATTGATGGCCTGTTGTCGTTTAAAAGCTCCAGAACTCAATTATGGCCAATTGTCCCGAAATCTGTTTTTCCTCTTGGAATTTATGTCGGCAAGCAAAAACCGCATGACATAACAAGTTATCTGAGTGATCTTGTTACGGAATTAATTGATACTGGGTTATATATACATAATAAAGTTGTGACATTCGGAATAAGGGACCTGATTTGTTATACTCCAGCTAAAGCTTTCACTTGTGGTATAGTTGGCCACACTTCATCACACGGATGTTCGAGATTTACTCAAATCGGGAACAAAATTGGGAATGTGCTTACATATTCTTCGGCTTCACGTGAACTTATAACTGATGATGATTTTAAAACAATCATCACCAAATTAAATTTCGATCAAAACAATCGCCCTTTCAAGTGCTTGAGCTTGATATGATAACACAAGTTCCCCTTGACCCAATGGATCTGATTGACCTTGGTGTTGTAAAGAAAATGCTGGTTCGATTATATACGGATAAAACAAACTTTAAAATCACCAAACAAGTTAAAAGCGATATTTCTAATCACTTAAAATCCTTAACACAATATACTCCAAGAGAATTTTCAAGACATTCGCGAGAATTCCGTCAATTCTTATTTATACAAGTTCCGTCAATTTTTATTTTATACAGGTGTCCTGGTTTTAAAGGACAGGGTTCACGAAGACCTGTATTATGAATTCCTTCTACTTCATTGTGCTACCAGAATGCTGCCTTGTCCAAGAACATATGAAAAAAAATTTGGAAAATGCGCAAGTTCACTTTGGACTGGAAGACAGCATATCATACAATGTACATAATATGTTGCATATAACTGAATGTGCGTAAGTATTTGGATCAATTCAAAATTTTTCCTGTTACCCCTTTGAAAATTATCTCCAAAAATTGAAAAAAATTGTAAAAAACCTTCAAAAATTTTCAACAAATTCATATTAGTACAAAAAAAAGAAGTGAAAATGAAAAACAAAAAACGGGGTCATTGTTAGCGTTGAAACAAATGAATATTTTTTTCATCTATTTGCCCTAACAATTTTTGCGCCATCAAACCATTTATACCATTTGAAATTACTGGTTTCTCATTAACTACCCCGGTGTCAGTAGTGGGTCGTCGATTTCTAAATATTGAGAGCTTTTTTTAGGAGCCATTTAATTCAGCTGATGTTTTGGGCACTTTTTAACATTGAAGACATTGAGTTGAAATTTGCAGGATTTGCATTTGAGAACAAGTATCTCTTAGTACCACTTTTGCATCACTGCCAATGATAAGATGTTCAAACAACCACATTCAAAAATAAAAAATCTACGAATATATTTTAAAATTTACAAAATATCAACATTTAATTATCTAGATGTCACTCCCCCAAATAAATCGAAAAACTCCTGGCCTAAAACCCGTAGCAACTTGTAAGTAAGCATCACACCAACATGTTTTTGTTAATAAATAATATATTACATTGCAGATCAGAATAAGATCAGAAAAATTGTGCCAAACATTTTGAATAGCAGTTTAAACAAATTAACAGTAAGAAAAATAAGCAAAAATAATTTCCAAAAGCCAATATATTTATGTAAAATTTTGTGTTTACCCTTGTTTATATTCAATACAAAATCTTCAAGGTAATTACTTTCAATACCATTCAAATCGATATTAAAAATGTATTTTTTTCACGAGTCGTAGCTAATTACAAATATATTCATTTTGTTTATATTTTATATGATTATTATTCTCTATTTACAGAAACTATTTTTAAACAAAATGAAAAAAATATGAAAGCCCTTTCTGAACACAAAGTGTTATCAGAAAGAATTTTATATCAGGAGGTAACTCAAAATAATTTGGCCTCTACATTCCCCTTGGATTCCATTAATAAATTAACTGAACTAAGTTACACTATAAATGAAAATAATCGTAACGATTACGTAAGTTTCCTAATAACATTTCTGATTTTGTTTATAAAATCATTTATTTTTACTCCACAGATAAATGCAATGAAAACGTTTGCCAAAAACAGGGATAATGGCAAATAATTTGTACATGGGCATCAATTTAGAGGGAATTCATGGAAAAAAGCGTTTGAAGGACTTTCCTTATTTTTATGGTATTTTAACAGGTAAGTCCTCATTTGAAACCAGTAAGGAAAATAGTAAAGTCGGCCTGGGCCGACTATATGATACCCTTCACCACTTTGGGTATATTGTACATATGTATCCTAACAATTGCATGCCTATGTTCCCTCTTTCTCCAAACTATCCTAATTTTAATATGGGGAAAATTTATGGAAACGATTTATAGCAAAATTTATACACGCTATTCGGTACGCCGCGTTGTTAAAAATACAATCTATATGTGCCACCTATATTTAATCTGAACCGGTTTTCGCGAAAATTAACACACATCCTTCTAGACTTAATTCAGTACGCTATGCCAAATTTTGTGCAAATCGAAGGACCTTGGTGCACCATTTACATAAAATCGGACGAAAATATATATGGGAGAGATGTCGAAATAAACCGATTTTCCCGAAACTCAACATCATTTAGACTCAATCCAGTACGCTATGCCAAATATATATAAAGGGAGCGAAAATATATATATCTATATCAAATCTGAACCGATTTTCTGGAAACTTAACACACATCATTCTAGACCTAATTCATTACGCTGTGCCAAATTTCGTGCAAACCGAAAGATATATAGGGACTTTGGTACATCATTTACCTTAAATCGGACGAAAATATATATGGGAGCTATATCCAAATCTGAACCGATTTTCAGGAAACTTAACACACATCATTCTAGACCTAATTCATTACGCTGTGCCAAATTTCGTGCAAATCGAAAGATATATAGGGACTTTGGTACACCATTTACATTAAATCGGACGAAAATATATATAGGAGCTATATCCAAATCTGAATAGATTTTCAGGAAACTTTACACACATCATTCTACACCCAATTCATTACGCTGTATCAAATTTCGTACAAATCGAAATATATATAGGGACCGTTTACATTAAATCGGACGAAAATATATATGGGAGCTATATATAAATCTGAACCGATTTTTCCCAATTTCAATAGAAATCGGATCATAAATGCGACATGTACTTTGTTCACAAAAATACATGGACGGACAGACAGACGGACATGCGTAAATCAACTCAGAAAGTAATTCTATGCATATTCTCAAAAGGAACCATGTGTTTATCTCGTTTCCTTTTGCCTGTTACAAACATATGCACAAAGACATAATACCCTGTACCACAGTGTGGTGAAGGGTATAAATATATATATATATATAATTTAAATCCAAAATCATACAAATACACATTTTCATACACATTCATCATTTAAACAGATGCCTGCCGATCCCTTGGCTCTGAGGATATAGATGCTGATCTACGCAACGCCTTAAAAATAATCAAGAAGCGTTGTATCCATTCTAAGTGCGTCCAAAAAAAATTAGCAAAAACGAATAATTAATTTAAAAAATTTAACTACAGAGTGGTGATGGGTGTAAAGCATCAAATGTGCGAACTAATTTTTTGGTAGTACTAAGATTTTTAAAACCAAAAACTAATATTAATTTCCTTTTTATTATTAAACCGCATATGTTCAAAATATTTTTTAACCTAACGTGCAGAAGCTAACTTTTCCCTGATAACGATTTGACTTACAAATAGTTATTTAAAAAAATTAACTGAAAGTGTATGTTAACAAGTAAATATATAGCTAACTGCTAAGTTACCTATAAGTTAACTGCTAACTTTATAGTCAGTTATCCAGCAGTTAACTTATAGGTAACTTAGCAGTTAGCTATATATGTACTTGTTTAAATACACTTTCATTTAATTTTTTTAAATAACTATTTGTAAGTCAAATCGTTATCAGGGAAAAGTTAGCTTCTGCACGTTAGGTTAAAAAATAAAGTAATGCATATTCGGACAATTGACTACTTCGTAGGACATCACAATGTTAAAATAGTCAGTTGATTCCATGTAAAAAAGTCGATTTATCAACCACTACTAATTGAAAAAAAAGTTAGTTTTCATTTAGTTGAATGTACGACAGGGTTATGTCTCAGATTTTATTGTTGACACACCCTATAAATTAAAATTTAGGTATTTATTTCGAACAAATCCGACCCTAAACATCTACGAAATAATTACCTTTCTTATCATGCCATCAATGATTTGATCAAAAAATTCACTGATTAAATTTTTCCACTTACCTTTGGACATTCTCAATTTTTACTCGATATTTAATGTTGTACTGGTTTAAACGTTCCTCAAAAGCAGATTGTTCAGAGGGCTTGACCATCACATCACAGTTTTCGCCGAATTGATGAATATCCTTCCAGAAATCAAGCTGTGTGTGAGTTTTTAATAAAAATCCATTAATAAATAAACCCTTTCTGCATAACTGCAAATAGTATTACCGCAAACAAACCATTTAACGATTGAAAATGTTCATATTGCTGCTCATTTTCAATGGTAACTTCGTAAACTTTATAATTGTCATAACGAACTTTTTGTGGCTCTACAGAAGCGCCAGTAATTAAATGAATTAAACCAATGAAAATAATTAACTCCCGGAGACCTTTCATGGTGGAAGAGGAGGTATATTTTTCCAATTTTATTTAATACACCAATTTGTACTTTCCCGAAGATCTTGACACACCTGCGTTCAACTGCTGACTGATTTTTCTCCCTTTCGGAAGGCTAAATTGTTATAGCTTTTAGTAATCAGAAATAAACAAAATATATACATACCTGCATACAAGCGCGATTACGGTAGCCACTATAGAATTTAATCTTTTATGACAACACCACCACCGCCCGATTTATTGGCAAATATCAAGTGCTTGAAATTAACCCAATTTAGATTAAGCGGACGAAGCGGAGCGTACTCACAATCGCATCGAAGGTACACCAGCGTCGTTTTTCTTTTTCTTCTGTTTGTGAGAATTACCATTGATAAATATATTTATTTATTTCCACTAAGAGGGTGTTCCATTTGTGCAGCTCTCATTGCACAAAATGTTAAAAATTATAAATTCCACTGGCGTTCGATATCCAGTTGTTCTTCGGTTGATAATATTGTTGTACGAGTGTGTGCAAACAACAGGCGGAAATATGTCAGTGTCTGTCTGAAGTGACACTCAGTCACCATTGACTATGAAAAAAAAAGAAATAACATTAACATGTGTTATGTTCTGCTGGTCGTTAAACTTTCAAAACACATCTAATGGAGGTAGTACCATACATGAATATATTCTGGAAATGTTGCTTTCCATGGCTTTCAAAATTGGGGAAATTTTATAAAATATGCCAACATAAGTTTCTATGTTTTGGGACTTCTCCATATTTTTTATACCCTTCACCACACTGTGGTACAGGGTATTATGTCTTTGTGCATATGTTTGTAACAGGCAAAAGGAAACGAGATAGACCCATAGTTCCTTTTGAGAATATGTATAGAATCACTTTCTGAGTCCATCCGTCTGTTGGTGTCAAATTGTAAACAAAGTACTGGTCGCATTTACAATCCGATTTGATTGAAATTTGGCACAGCTCATTTGTTTGGCCCAAGGACGAACCCTATTGAAATTGGGAAAAATCGGTTCAGATTTAGATATAGATCCCATATATAGTTTCGACCGATTTCATGTAAATGGTGCACCAAAGTCCCTATATATCTTTCGATTTGCACGAAATTTGGCATGACGTACTGAATTAGGCCTAGAATGATGTCTGCCGAGTTTCGTGAAAATCGGATCAGATTTAGATATAGCTCCCATATATAGTTTCGTCCGATTTCATGTAAATGGTGCACTAAAGTCCCTATATATCTTTCGATTTGCACTAAATTTGGCATAACGTACTGAATTGAGCCTAGAGTGTTGTCTGCCAAGTTTCGCGAAAATCGGTGCAGATTTAGATATAGCTCCCATATATAGTTTCGACCGATTTCATGTAAATGGTGCACCAAAGTCCCTATATATCTTTCGATTTGCATGAAATTTGGCATGACGTACTAAATTGAGCCTAGAGTGTTGTCTGCCAAGTTTCGTGAAAATCGGTCCAGATTTAGATATAGCTCCCATATATAGTTTCGTCCGATTTCATGTAAATGGTGCACCAAAGTCCACATATATCTTTCGATTTTCAAATTTGGCATAGCGTACTGAATTGATGCTGGAATGATGTGTGTTGAGTTTCGTGAAAATCGGTTCAGATCTAGATATATATATATTTTCGTCCGATTTAATGTAAATATGTTGCATAGTGTACTGAATTCAATCCAGAATGATGTGTTCCAAGTTTCGTGAAAATCGGTAGAGCTTTCTTATATTATAGAATGATTTTAAGTAATTGACGCACCAAGGAACCTATATATGGCTGATAGGAACAAAACGTTCTGAAATTAGTATAACCTAACATGTGACAATTTTCGTTGAAATCGGTTCATATTTGGATATAGCTTCCATATATATTTTCATCCGATTTTGAAGTAGATTGTGCGTCAAACCCCTCATGTTTGTCAGATTGACATCAAATTTTGCACAAAATTGAGAAGAGAATAACGTAGTTGCGTTTTCTAAAAATACAGACAAAGCCCAACGGATGACCTATTGATATTTGTTTGAAGTCGATTTACATACTTTCCCATTGTAACAAACGAATGACGTGTTTATGGATAGATCTAGGTCGTTTAACATTTATATAAATATCACATATTTTAGTTCATCCAATTTCATGATAATTGTCCTCTTTAATATACCCATAATAGTGAAGGGTATCATATAGTCGGCCCCGTCCGACTTTACTAATTTCCTTACTGTTTTTTTTTTTTTTTGAGCGCTTGCAATGTAACGTATTTCCACATAGATTATTTTAATAAAAACAAGTATGAAAGTGTCAGTCAGTGTTGCCGACAGATATATAGATTGAATATAATCGTATACCGCCATATAGAATTTTAAAATTTTCTAAATTTTTACACTTTGTGTGAGTGGTACCAGGAGGTGTCTTTCGATGAGTCCCATCTTCGCACTTGATCTAGGTTTGCATGAAATCGGAATGTTCGATTCTTTTGGTTTAGAAATGTTCAAAATGTTGACATTTTGCGGGAAAGTTACCAAAAATGGTTCCCATTTTCGGGCTTAATGTTGGTTTTGTAAAAAATATTACGATGTGCAAAGTTAGGATAAAATTGGATATGTAAAATTTTCCCTATATGAACCAATAACCCTTTCCTTAATCATTACGCAGGCTTGTTTAAAATAATTGGATACAAAAAGTTGCTCAAATCGAATACTTATATAAAATTAATTTTTTTAGCAAAATTTTGTCCATTTTTTGTGATTTACCAGAAAGAGTGGATCAGTATTCCCCATATTCGAACTATATTTAAGTTTGAAAGATGTGACACGTTAGACGAAACGTTAGAACGAAATCAGACATGAATTGGCGAAGTTTTACAAGATTCTCGACTTGATCGCTCGCTCGCTTCAAAACGACTGAGATAATTTTGGAATTTGAACTTACGAGTACAAAATGTAGATCTATGATAGATGATTGGTCGAGGATTTTTTTTTTGAATGGAAGGTCTTAAATATTTATATTTTCTTTCTGCATGACATATTTAAAATAGAATATTTATAATGGAGCTTTGACATTTTGCAAATATTTGGTATTGAATACGGAATATAATAGTGCAAGTTTTAATAACGTCCCATATAAACTTACCGCCCCCTTTTCGTTATTTTGAAAGTTTTTATACCCTACACAACTATGTTGTCAGGGTATTATAGCTTTATGCAGCCCCAAGAGTTTGTAACGCCGCGAAATATTGGTCCTAGACTTTAAGTATACCGATCGTCATATCTCGACTAGCTGAGTCGATCTAGCCATGTGTGTCCGTTCGTCCGTCTGTCCATTATACTTTGTACACAATACAGGCCACAGTTATGTACCTATCTTCACGAAATTTTGCATGTAGGATGGGTTCTGCCCAATGAAGAACCCTATTGTTCTCGGTAAAGATCGGTTAATATCTAAGGGATGAAATGGACCAAATACTTAATTTTTATCGTTTTTTCTGGTCGCTCTAGAGACTACAATTATGACCCGAATTTGTACTTAGAGAAGGGGATCGGGCCAAATAATAAGCATGCCTGTTTTGATAAGGATCGTTCAATATTTAGCGGGTCAAATGGCCCTGACTTTTGTGTGAAAAATTACAAAATTTGCATTTTATAGCGTATAGATTCACACCTGAGGGACATAGACCCAAAAAGTTGTTGGTATATCCAAGGGCAGTGGTTGGCCTTTACATTGATACCAATTATATGGTCGTATGTACTCAGATGTGGGAGTTGCACTTAAACATTTACAGGTGCTTATGTATTCAGATATTATTTAGTAACCCTTTACCACACTAGAGGGCGAAAATATAGCCCTGATCGCTTTAAAATGTTCCATGAAGTTTCAGTTATGGTCAAGGATAACGCTTATAATTTTTTTGTGTTTTTTCGAGTCGATCTATAGGCTCCAATGGGAATTAGAAGATCACAACACAAGCGATGGGAATCTGGACAACTAATTAGAGGGCTGTACTGAACATTGGCAATAATTGTCGGCCTCTAGTTGGTCCAGATGGTTAAAATATCGCGAAATATTGCCCAAGCTCAGAATATAAATCCACAGAAAGTTAGTTTTTCGTGGAAGTTGTGTAGGGTATCATATGGTCGGCCCCGTCCGACTATACTGCTCCGCTCACTGGTTTTTTCACATTTTGCAGCCCAAGTGGTTCTAATTTGGCATTTCGAGCTATTGGTGGTATAACCCCAGTATAAGAGTATAGCAATATTTTTGGTATTTTGAATATTTTGGCTTCATTTTGCTACCGAAGAAGCTGTAATTTGGAAACGAATATATTTTCAGATATTTATGAATATAGTTCCGTACTTTGTTGATATTTTAAAAATTTTGCATTTTTTTGAACAAATTGACATTCCGGGTTCCAGGGCGGTGGGAATATATATCCATAGCCCATGTCCTGCACCATGGCGGGCCGTAATTATTTAGTTGACCTGAACGCAGAACAGGGCACCGTAAAAAGGTACCAGAAAAACCAGTAAGAAAAGTAATAAAGTCGGACGGGGCCGACTATATGATACCCTTCACCAATTTTGGTATATTGAACAGATGAATCTTAACAGACGTCGCAGTTTTGAAGGATCAGTAAAATGAAATTGAACCCATAAACATGCCATCCTGCAACCTATACTAAATTTTTCATTTGGTCAGATATAGAGTTGCTTCTTGCAATAGGATCAACGGGTGTGGATTATTTGGATACATATCTGATAAACATGAGGAGTTTGGTGCACCATTTACTTCAAAATGGGCGAAAATATTTATAAAAGCTATATGGAAATCTAAGCCGATTTCATCGAAACTTGTCACAGAATATAGGCCACAGTTTGAGTTCTTGGTGCATTATTTACTTAAAATCGGGAGAAAATATGTATGTATGGTAGCTCTATCCAAATTTTAACCGACTTCAATAAAATTTAGGTTAGGTTATATAAACTATATA